ATGCCACCTGCAGCTGTCCCACACTGAGGATCCTTGTCGGGTGGCCAGGCTGGCGCAGGGACAAGGGCGCCAGGATGTGCCGGTCACATTGGCAGCATAGAACAGGCCGTTCTTGGCTTTCCCGCCGCCCTTTTGTTCCTGGGTGGAGGTGGGGGGCTGTTGTCCTGGCAACCAGCCACCTCCCCCCAAAACACAGATAGTTGAGGGGGGAATTGGGGGCACCTTGGAGCTGGGCCTAGGGGTTCTAGCTAGGGAGGACCTTTGTTACGCAGGGGGCAAAGGGCTCCCTCCTCCCAGCATGGCGGCTCCTCCTCCTTCTCCTCCTCCTCCTCCTCCTCCTGAGTTTAGATTTCCAGGGTGACAGAAGGGCCTGGTCACCCCCTCTCCCTCTCAGGACTGGAATGCCGGAGGTGGCAGCAGTGGGGGGTGGACATTCCCAGCAAGACCTTCACCACGGTGGCTGTGGCAGCAGCTGGTTGTCCCCAGGAGCAGGCTGCAGCTGGTGTGGGTGGCTTGGGTCCCTGGAGAGTGAGGTTATTTAGGGGGTGGGGGCCAGGGAGACCGAGAGGCCCCTCGGTGGGGACAGGAAACAGGGCTGCCCCCACTTGCCTTCTCCTGTTGGCCCACCTGGCACGGTGGGCGCCCAGGGTCACCACACAGGAAGTGTCCCCAACGCCTGTTGTGTGGGCCACTGAGTCTCAGGGCCAGGAGGGAGGCAGCCAGCAGCATGGGCAGGGCCTGCTGTCTGTCTCAGCTGCAGAGAAGGTTGACCTCTTACCGAGTGACACATGCTTGTCATCCGGGCCACTCAGGAGGCTGAGGCAGGAGGGTCAGTAGTTTGAGACCAGCCTGGGGAATTGAGAGACACCTTGTCTCAAAATGAAATTTAAGCAAAAAAAAAAAAAAAAGAAATTTAAGGTAGGTGTGGTGCCACACACCTGTGATTCCAGCACTCAGGAGACTGAGGCAGGGAGATCTACAAAAGTTAGAGCCCAGCCCGGACTACATAGTGAAACCCTGTCTCAAAACACAAAACAAACCAGGGCCGGGGATTTAGCTCAGTGGTTCTGGTGCCTGCCTTGCAAGCACAGGGACCCAAGTTCGATCCCTGGAACCAAAAAAAAAAAAAAAAACCACAAACCAAACCAAAAAAAAAAAAAATTTTTAAAATAAAATAACAAAGTCAGACATACAAGGTTCTGGGGAAGGGCAGGTCCTCGATGTCCCTCACAAGACCTCCCCAGAACACGGAGCTGGGGAGAACAGCCAGGGACAGATGTGGCTGTGGCCACACGGAACCAGTCCCCAGAGAACCCACAGCCCCCAGAAATGTAGCTGCTCGTGTGATCAGGGTAGACTAGTGCCTCTCAGTGGGGGTGATTCTACCCCCCGTGGGACCCTTGGCTACGGCTGGGGACACTTTGGGTGGTGCTGGCTAAAGAGAACACTACTGGCATCCAGGAGGTAAAAGCCAGGCATGCTGTCAACACTGTATAGTCACAGGACTGTCCTCATCATCAAGTCTTCAGCCCCAAATTTCTTTTTTCTTTTTTACCAGTTGTAAGTTTTTATTTAAAAGATTCCCTTTTTAATCTGTTCCAAAGTGTTGGAAGCTGAACTGTACAAGCTCTTGCCACCTACCCTTCCAGTATAGTTCTTTGAATATATATATATATATATGACCAGAATCAGCTCCTCAGACCCCGGTGGCAGTTTGACCAAAGCTGGCCTTGCAGAGTGAGCTCATGGAGGAATCTGAGGAACTAGGCCCCTCTCCTGTGAGGAAAGGGCTGAGCAAATTCATATTCTCTTATGGGGAGAATGGTCCAGATTCAGACCTGAAGACCTCTGTTATGATGTTCCCTGGCACTCTTCTTACACTTTTGATATTGAAGGCTGCTTCCTCTTTTATGGCCAGTTTTAGCAGGCAAAGAAAAGGAACATAGATACATATATATGTGTGTGTGTGTATATATATATGTATATATATATATAAATTTTATATAGGTAAAATATATACATATTTTATACATGTATCAATACATATCTGGGGGTAGCACCAAGGTCAAGAAATCCTGGATGAGGGCAAAAAAGAAATCCTGGATGAGGCCAGGCGTGGTGCACAACTGCAATTCCAGCACTCGGGAGGCTGAGGCAGGAGGATTGCCTGGCTAGCCTGGGAGAGTGATTTCTCACACTATTCAGCAAGATCCTGTCTCCAAAAAAACAAACAAAGACATTTTATTTATTTATTTATTTATTTATTGCAAATTAGAAGGGGACCAAGAGATAGAGGGATGGGGCAGGGGAGGGGGAAGGACAGAAAGAGAATCAAGATGTCTTCTGCCCATGTACCAACTCCCCACAAGGAATGCAATCATTCTGTATTGCAAACATGCACAATAAAAATTTAAAAATTCAAAAAAGGAAAATAACTTGCAAAAGATCACACAACTAATAATGGACACATTCAACTAAAAAAAGTTGTATATTTTTGATCCCCAGTACTGGGAAAAAAAACAACTTGTATTTTTTGCCAGGTGTGGTGGCCATGCCTGTTGTCCTAGCAATCTGGGAGGCTGGGCAGATTAGTGACTCAGCAAGACCCTGTCTCTTGGTTTCTTGTGTTAGAGCCAAACTCAAGGTCAGCCTTCCTGGGTTGCTGCCCCAGAAAGAGGGAATCAGGATGCAAGGTCCTTCCCCTGCTTGTCTCTTGAGTCCTCCCATCCTAGGGAATATTTAGAGAACCAGACAGGAAACGAAGTCAGTTTCTTTTTTATCCATTGGGTAGAACTCAGTGACATGGCCTCAACTTCCTCTGGCGCATGCTGGGAATTGTATTCCAGCCATGTGCTCCCATGGGCAATTAAAACAATAGGCAGACTAGGCCCATGTTATTTTGTTGTTGTTTATTTTTAAATTTAATTTAATTTAATTTTTTTGGTACTGGGGATCGAACTCGGGTCCTTGTGCTTGCGCAGCAGACGATGAAACCACTGAGCTAAATCTCTGGCCCTGTTGTTATTTATTTTATTTTTATTTTTTCTGGTACTGGGGATCGAACTCAGGACTTTGTACTTTCGAGGCAGACATGGTTCCACTGAGCTAAATCCCCAGCCCTTCTTTATATTATTTTTTTTTTGAGACAAGGTCTCACTATGTAGCCGAGGTTGGCCTTGAACTCTGGGTGATTCTCCAGCTTCAGCCTCCCAAGTGCTGGGATTACAAGCATGCACCACCACACCTGGCCTATGTCCATGGTACTGTTTCCATTGCTTTTATTATTATTCAAACCTAATAGTTTTATATGTCTTTTTTTCTTTTTTTGGCAAGTACTAGAGATTGAACCTAGGACCTTTGCACTAAGCTACATCCCAGCTCTTGTTTTAATTTTCATTTTGAGACAGAATCTGATAATTTGCCCAGGCTGGGCTCAAACCCACAGTCCTCCTGCCTCACCCTCCCAGAGTGTTGGATTATAAACATGTGCTCTCACACCTGACCCTTTTTTATTTTTTTATTTTGAGACAGAGTCTTGCTAAATCGCCTAGGCTGGGCAAACCGCTTCTTGAACATATTTCTACTTCCTGCCTCAACTCTTTTCTATCCAGAGAGTCGAAGGAGTGATTTTCAAACATGTTCTCTCAAACCCTCAGCCTCTGTCCCACCTCCAAAGAAAGACACTTTTTGGCTTCCTGAAGACCAGTGTGTCAGGCGCCGTGAATGCCAGAAACCGCGTTTCTGACTTGGGCACGTGGAGCCAGCAGCAGGACATGGGGGCCTGTGGAAATGAACCTGGAGTCACCCACATTTCAGGGCCTAGTGAAGGAATCCAGTGGCGAGGAGAGTGAGGGGCCCCTGCCTGGTGTAGCGGGAAAGCTGCCTAGAAGAGAAGGTACTGATGCTGTGGCTTTGAAGAGGCCACAAGTCAAATCCAAAATCAACAGTGGTAATGATAGAAATAAAGCATAGCCAGGCATGGTGGTGCCAGCCTGTCATCCCAGCACTTGGGAGGCTGAGGCAGGAGGATCCCTGTGAGTTCAAGGCCAGCCTGAGCTACATAGTGAGAACCAGTCCCAACTCTCCACCACCTCCAAAAAAGCCCCACACCACTGGCTGAAAGGTTGTAAGTCAAGTGGTCTGGGATACCCTTCTGTAGATTACTGACAGGTTACAGAAGAAACTGGCAACTTCATAAGGATATCTGGTTGACCTCCCTTAACTCTGAGTGCTCAAGAGTTCACACCTTCAGGGGGATTGAGACACGCCTCCACATTATGTGCTTTGTTTTTTAGTTTGTTTTTGACACAAGGTCTCTCTTTGTAGTCCAGGCTGGGCTTGAGCTCCCGGCAATCCTCCTGCCACAGCCTCCCAAGTGCTGGGAGGATCCTGCCCAGTTTGAGCCAGAATCTGACCTTGAGAATACAATCAGATTTTGGGAGAATTGGAGACAACTGGGGGAGGGGGATTGCTCAGCTGTGAGTGCTTAACTAGTGCACAGGAGAACTCAGTTTTGTTTTTTTTTTTGGTACTGGGGATCAAACTCAGGTCCTTGCGCTTATGGGACAGGTGGCAGAACCACTGAGCTAAATCCCTGGCCCAGAGAACGGGGCTTTGATCCCTAGCACCACACAACAAAAGGGAGGTAGAGGGGAGAGCCAGCCGGACACAGTAGCAAAAGCCTGTCATCCCAGTACTCTGGGAGGCTGAGGCAGGAGGATCACAAGTTCTAGCCCAGCCTGGGCAACTCATCGAGAGCCTGTCCAAAAAGTAAAAAGGGGGCCAGGGATTTAGCTCAGTGGTTCTGGTGCCTACCTCACAAGTGCAAGGTCCTGAGTTCGATCCCCAGTACCGTAAAAAAAAAAAAGTATAAAGGGCTGAGGATGGAGCTCATTGTGAGGCCCTGGGTTCCATCCCTACTACCGCAAAAATAATAACAATAAAAGCGACAAACTGTGTTGCCTGTGGCACCCTGATCCACGAGGTGTCACCCTGCAAGACACAGACTTCAGACTTCCCACCGAGTGAGATACCTTTTACTATCCAGGAGTTTGTACACTTGTTCCAGGTGGGCCAGGCTCGGGGCTCACACCCCCAGCTGCCAGGGGCTGGCTGTTGGCCGAGTCCGCGGGGCTGCAGGTGATGACGATGGGCACCCTGGCCTCGATGCTGGTCATCGACCAGGGCAGCGGCACGGTGACCACCAGCTCGTAGTGCGTGCGCATGAGCTCCTGCTGCTGGGCGCTGTCGCTCACGGCCAGCAGCAGTGGGAGTCTGAAGGCGCTGACGATGTTGGCGGTGGTAAAAGCGGCAATGTGCGCGCTGGCCTCCTGTCGCAGCAGCTGGCTGCTGTCAGTGCGGCAGCGGCGCTCCGCGCTGGGCGTGAAGGCCTCGTACTGCACATGCGCGAGGAGCGCTGAGCTCACCGACTGGATGCGCTTGCGGGTCTGGTTGTGGATCTCCGTGGTGAACACAACCTTCTCCCCCGGTATGAAGGTGTTCTTGTCCATGTGCACCTGGAGGTCCACGGTGCCCCGGCTGCAGCAGTTGTAGGAGACCCTCTTCTCGACCCGCACCAGCAGGGGGTTCTGGAGGGGGGAAGTTCGGGCTATGTAGTTCAGGCTGGCCTTGAACTGGTGAGATCCTTCTGCCTCAGCCTCCTGAGTGCTGAGATTCCAGCCATGTACCACCACGCCTAGCTTTGAACTCATCTTTCCCTGGCAAGCAAGTGGTGTACAATATCCTATTGTGGATCTGGGCAGCTAGTCTTCTGTTGAAACTACCAACATTGTACATGGTGCTGTGTTACTATGCTAGAATGCACTGTAGGTTAGGGGTATTAAATGCATTTTGGACTTAATATTTTCAGTTTATGGTGGGTTTGTCAGAACAGAACCATATTATAAATGAACGTCTGGGCCAACATCTGGGATTTAGCTTAGTGGTACCGTGCCTGCCTCACAAGTGCAAGGTTCTGAGTTCAATCCCCTGTACCAAAGACAATTACTATAAATAAACATCTATATATAGCTTCATGTTTAGGTTTTTATTTTATTTTTAGGTCCTAGGGATCAAACCCAGGGCTTCTCCCCTATTAGCCAGGTACTCTGCCACTGAGCTACACTCCCAGGCCTTTTAATTTTATTTTGTGGTAGGGTTGCCAAGGCTGGCTTAGATTTCATGATCTTTCTGCCTCAGCCTCCCAAGTAGCTAGAATGATAGGTATATGGTTCTGTGCCTGGCTCTAATATTTTTGACTTATTTTACCATTTAGTCTATTATTTTATTTAAAAAAACAAGTTTGAAGTTGGGTGTGGTGGCACACACCTGTCATCACAGCATTCTGGGAGGCTGAGTCAGGAGGATTGAAAATTTGAGCCCAGGGCCGGGGATTTAGCTCAGTGGTTCTGGCACCTGCTTTCCAAGGGCAAGGTCCCAAGTTCGATCCCAGGTACCAAAAAAAAAGAAAATTTGAGCCCAGCCTGGGCAACCTGGTGACTTAGAAAGACCCTGTCTCAAAATAAAAACATTATTTGGGTTTGATATAGTATACAGCAAACAAAAAAATAAACACCCCAAACCATGCTCGCATCCTGCCAGATTGATTTATACAAAGGAGATCTATGGTTTAAAAAACACTCTAGATCAAATGTTGTTGCTCTTTGGGTCTGTGGCTGACCCCTGACCCCTGACCCTCCAATCTTACCTTTCAACCTCTGCCTCTGACCCATGCCTCTCTCCAGCTTTCCCACTGGCCAGCCCCCCACCCCTTCCCTGAAAGCCTAGCCGCTTGCAGGCAGGCAGTTTCACCCCAGTCCATCCAGTCTAACTGCAAGTGACTGCATGCCTTAGGGCCCTGAGGGCTTAGGGTTCCAGCGGCCTAACTGCAGGCACAGCCCGTGTTCTGTACAGTCCTCAACCAGGTATCCAGAGCCTGCTGTGGTGGCTCACTCTTGTCATCCCAGAACTCAGGAGGCTGAAGCAGGAGGATTGCTGCAAGTTCAAGGCCAGCCTGGGGCACATACTGAGACCCTGTTTCAAAAAACAAAAAGGAGGTATCCCGAAGCCCTTATGTGGCCCAGCAGAGACCCCACACCCCACCGGAGGGGCTTCCCCAGTACCCTGATTCCCAAGAATGTTGGGGCAACAAGGTCAACGTTGGATTCACTGAACTTGGGGATTGGGGGATCTCATATTCCCTTGACACGTAGGAAGCCTGCAGGGACCCATTCACTTGACTTGTTTTTTTTGCACCTACTCGAAACCCATAGTAGTAGAGCCCAGCCAGGGAGGAGGGGAGGAAGAATAAAAGACAATAAAAACAATAGGTCAGGGTTGGGGATGTAGCTCAGCGGCTCTGAACCTTCCTGGCAAGTACAAGGTCCTGAGTTCAATCCTGGGACCAAAACAAACAAACAAACAAAAAACCAAGCAAACCCTGGTAGGTCTGAGCTGGGTGCAGTAGTGCATGCTGGTCATCCCAGCACTCTGGGAGGCCTAGGCAAGAGGATCACAAGTTCCAGCCCAGGCTGGGGAACACAGTGACTTAGAGAGTCCCTGTCTCAAAATAAAAAGTAAAAAGGGCTAGGGATGGAGCTCAGTGCGAAGGCCCTGGGTTCCATCCCCAGTACCAAAAGAAGAAGAAAGAAGGCCTCCTTTGACCAGTCTGGTTAAACCAATGATTGGTGCTCTGCCCAAAGCCTGCCTGTGTCCCTCTCAGTTCCCATGGGGTCCAGGGAGGGAGCGTGGCCTCCCAAAGGCCACCGAGGAGCAGCGGCTGTGCTGGGAACTTGGACGGCTGATCTCAGGGCCATGCCCCTTCCAAACAGCCACCCATCCCAGCAGTGTCCCCTGCAGTCGGTGGGCCTGGGGAGGACCCTTGTACCTGGACAGGGGCAGTAGCAGCATGTCTGGCAGGAATTAACGGCAACGCCACAGTCCAAGGCCCAGCACTTATGTGAAGTCCACTCATTGTTCTTTTATTTAAGGGGATGTGTACTGGGGATGGAACCCAGGGCCTTCACATGGAGCTGCATTCCCAGCCTTTTAAATTTTTATTGTGAGAGAGAGCCTTGGCAAATTGCTAAAGTTGCCTGGGCTAGACTGGAACTCAAGATCCTCCTGCCTCAACCTCCCAGACTGCTGGGCTTCCGGGTGTGCCCTTTGAATGACCTTCAAGAAGGTCACACAGCAGGGGGATTTTTAACCTGGATTTTGAGAGACAAAACACCAACCCTCTGCCTTTGTCATCCTAATGCTCTGAGGACAAATGACTCCCTGGGGCTAGTGACCTTGGCCAGTGTCACCCCCCACTTCCGCTTCTGGGTGTGGCTTCAGGAAGGGACTCACAGATGGACACAGAACCATTCCTGTCCTTGCCTCTCCTGGGCCAGGCCACCTTTGCTGTCTTGAGGCTTGGAGGCCAGGAAGCCACCGAGCGCCCCCATGCCCCTCTCTCCCATCCACGGGGCCTGTGCGGGGCTATTGGCTTGACTTCCTGAAGGGCCCTGGACACTGGGGACACAGGGCTGGGCCTGCTCCGTGGGGCGTCCCAGGCACTGCAGGCTGCTGGGAAGCGTCCCGGCCTCCACCTGCTCCAGGTCAGCAGCTCCCCCAGTGTGACAGCCACAGATGTCCCCACGAAAGAAAGACCCAGTGTCAATTGTCCCTCCTTCCTCTTTTCCTTCAGAGGCCCTGAGTGACTCTGAGGCTCACTCTGCCCATAAGGTAGGACCACCATCCCTGGGCTGTCTGCACCATGCCAACGGCCCCTGCCTGGACAAGTGGCCAGGCATCCTGTCCCTAGACATTGCCCAATGTGACTGGAGGGGGTTGTAAAGCCCCCTGAGTTCCACCCAGGTTTCTGCTCAGCTTTTGTGAAATCGCAGGGCCCGGGCAGCCGCCAGCGCCCTTCCCCACCTGGGCCTCTGTCCCCAGGCCACCCATCTGTCCCCTTCCTACCAGAGCCCTGAGGACGCTCCCACTGCTGTGCCATCCCCACGGGTACCTGCAGTGCATTTTCCTGGTGGAAAACTGAAGTCCCTTGAACCAACAAATACACCCTTTTCCTCGCAAGAATGTGCTCCCGGCCCATGCAGGAGGCTTGGATGAAGTAGAAGATGTGGCCCGTTTTGCTGGCAAAGGTGGACGGTAGCCTGGGAGGTAAGTTGAAACGGAAGTCGAAGGTGTGGGTACCTGCGCCTAACCAATTGTCTGAAAGCAAAACACGGCAAAGCCATCAGAAGATTCTAGAATTGTTTCTTCTGTCTTCATCCCCCACCCGCCTGCCCACCTGCCCGTGTGTGTGTGTGTGTGTCTGTGTGTGTGTGTGTGGTACTAGGATTGAATACAGGGCTTTTGCACTGAGCTACATCCCCAATCCTTTTTTATTTCAAGACAGGGTCTTGATAGTTCGCTAAATTGCCCAGGCTGGACTTGAACTTGAGATCCTCCTGCCTCAGCCTCCCAAGCGCTGGGATTACAGGCATGCACCATCACACTCGGCTTCAGGAACTATCAATTTTGAATATCTGAGTTCTGGTCAGCTTCTTGTGTCTTGTGCTTCTACCTATTTTTTTTTTTGGTACTGGGGGTCAAACTCAGGACCTTGAGGTTACAAAGCAGGTGGCGGAACCACTGAGCTAAATCCCCGGCCCCAATTTCTTATATCCCTGGGGGTTTGTTGCTCAATTCCCAGTGTTTCCCTTCCAGATCCAGTTCCTGTGATGGCTGTGGTCGGCTGCCAGCCTCTTCCTTACCCTCCACCAGGAATGTCTTTGTCTTATGGACGTAGTCTGCCTTGTTGTTACAAATAACATTTCTGCTATAATCCCACGTCTCCCCAGTCTCTTCGTTCCACTCCACGTAACCCCGTCCTACAAGTTCTACTTTCACTACGGGGTCCACTAGGGTGCTGTAGAGGGTTAGAGCCACATCCCCGTATATGCTGGAGCCAGCCAGGTAGACTGCATGCATGGGCAGCACTAATTCGATGGACTTCACCAGAGACATGGGGAGCTGGGCTGTGGAGAACAATCCTCCTCCTCCCCCATGCCGGAAAGAGTCCTGGTTCCTGGGCTGTAGTGACGTCACCGCTCTGTGATGTCACTGATCCAAGTTCTGGGGAAGGAGGGGCAGCGGCTGTGGTTGGGGTGAGCAGTCACTAAAGAATTCCATGATTTGTTTTGTTTGGTTTTGTGAGACAGGATCTAGGAATGTAGTTCAGGATTGTCTCGAACTCACAGCAATCTTCCTGCCTCAGCTTCCTGAGAGCTGGCATTGAAGGCATGTGGACCACCTCGCCCACTCTTGCAGTGTGGAGGACAGAACCCAGGACCTCCTGTGTGCTAGGCAAGTGCTCACCAAGGAGCCATGCTGCAGCCCTTCTCGTTATCTTATTTTGAATCAAGGTCTAACTTGCAATCCTCTTGCTTCAGCCTCCAGAATAGCTAAGATGCCAGGTGTGTGCCACCACATCCAGATTCTCACTGGTTCTTGACTTGGCAGCCTGGCTACTTTTTCCTAGGAAATAACAACAGACCAAAAAAAGCTAAAACAAGCCCCAAAAAGCCACATAGGGAATGCCTGTCACCAGGTCAGAGATTTGGTGGCCTGATTGGGAAGACTGTTAACCACCCTGGTGCAGTAAATGTCATCAGCTCCCTTAGCAGATGAAGAGAGCCAAGCGTGGTGGCACACACCTGTCCTCTCAAGACTCTGGGAGGCTGAGGCAGGAGGACTGCAAGTTCCAGCCCAGCCCAGGCAATTCAGTGACTTAGCAAGACCTTGAATGAAAAAAAAAAAAAAAAAAAAAAGCTGGGGATGTGGGTCAGTGAGAAGGGCCTGGGTTCAATTCCTGGCACTGTACCACAAATAAACAAAAAATAAATAAACCAAAGAAGGCCCAGGGGCCGGGCTTAAAGGTCTGTTCTGTCTTATCCAATACCCCCACCCCAGTGGGCTGCACACATCTTCGAGTTGAGATCATATACAGATTATCATTTTCTTTTTTTTTTTTTTGGTACTGGGGATCGAACTCGGGTCCTTGCGCTTGCAAGGCAGTCTGTGGAACCACTGAGCTAAATCCCCGGGCCACAGATTATCATTTTCATGATTGTGGTTCTACATTTACACCAGTCTATGTTAGAAGAAATACAGATATGGCCAGATGGCCAGTTGTGAAATTCAGTGTGTACTGAAGATTGTCAGAGCATTGTGTGCTCAACCTGAACAACTGTACTGTCCTGACCATTGCAAAGGCCCATCTCCCTGCACCTCTGATGTTTCTCTTTAGGGCTGTGTGTGCCCCCCTCCCCAGGAAGTCCCTTCAGGGTGATACGGTACCTCAATGAACTTTGTGGCCACTACTGTCTGTCTGACCCAGACAAGGGTGTAGGGGGGTTTTCAATAAAAGTTTGTTGAGTGACTTAATGACTTTCAAGAGTATATTGTGTTTACAAAACAGTATCTCACTTGGGCTACTGTCCAAGTGGGCAAGACATTGAAGGAGAAAGGGTAGTAGACAATACCCACTGTCCAAGTTGACAGACTTTTGTTATCTTTGGTGTATCTTGCTTTGTGTGACAGTTTTTGTGCTCACTGACATCTTGTCTCCCCAACATTTTTTTTCCCCTAATTTTTCTTTCTCTCTCTCTCTCCTCTCTCTGTCTCTCTTTCTTTTTGTACTGGGGATCGAACCCAGGACTTTCACACTGAGCTACATTCACAACTCTTTTTTAATTTTTTTTTTTTTTTAGTGAGGTGTTTTTTTTTTTAGTGAGGCACTAAGTTGCCCAGGCTGGGCTCAAACTTGAGATCCTCCTGCCACAGCCTCCCAGAGTACTGGGATTGCAGGCATTGCCACTCCATCCAGTTTAACTTGAGGTGTCTGAAGCTCTTGGGGCTGTACTTTAAAACTGACCACATTTCTTTCAGCCACGTTGAGTGTTTCCTACTGTGGCACCAACTGCTGGAAGAGGCTGGGTCCTTTGGAAATCCTGCCAGCCTCACAAAGCTCAGAGGGCTTGTTCGAGTCTGGGCCCTACATGTGGCGTGGCAAACACCTGGCTGCTGACTCAGGGTCCAGAACTGCATTTCGGTCCTGAAGCAGAAGACAGTTAGCAGCAACATCCTCACTTCAGGTGTCAGAGTGCATAAGTGTCCCATGGAGGCTGTAACAAATGACCACCAACTCTGTGGCTTGAAACAGCACAAACGTGTTACTACCTTACACTTCTGTACGTCAGAAATCCCAAATGTATCCTGGGGGCTAAAATCAAGGTGGTGCTGGCAGGGCTTTGTTCTTGGGGAGAATCTGTCCCATCCCCTTTCCAGCTTCCAGAGGCTACCTGTGTGCCTGTCTCATGGCCACCTCCTTTTTGTTTTGAGGCAGGGTCTTGCTACACAGTTCAGGCTGGCCTTGTGTATGGAACAGGGAAAGGGGACATCACCAGAACCTCTGCAGTAAGTCCTAGTCTCCTGCGAGCCACGGCAGCACAAGGCGAATTACAGGAAAGGTAGAAAAATGAGACTGAGAAGAAGCTGAGCTTTGGGTCTGATCAGTGCTGCTCTGGGCGGCAAAGACGCAAGCCCCCGGCTTACCTCAGTACATTGGGAGAAACAAATGTAGCAAATGACTTGCAGAGAGTTCAGTACATCCTGCATAAATGAGATGTAACACTCCAAGAACAACCAGGAACTGAGTAGATGTTTATTCCTCCCAGGATGTTTTCAGCTCCCAGGATGTTTCTTGTCCTGGAGAATCACAGCATCACGGGATCATTGAGGTCTCAGTTGTGACTGGAGGCCAAAATGGAATTATGTCTTGGAATTCCATAGCTGGGCTGTAGGCAGGAGAACTAAGCTAACCAAATGATTTTTCCCTAAAGTTATGTAGCATTGCTCCGGACAGCCTTGAATTCACTATGTAGCCCAAGTTGGCTTAGGAACTCACACCAATCCTCCTGCCTCAGCCTCCGGAGTGTAGGGATTACCACTGTGCACCACCATACACAGGATGGCCTCTTCCTTCTAACCTCTGCTTCCGTGGTCAGGATCCCTTTTCAGACTCACCTTCCTGCCTCTCTCCTCCACTCCCTGGGACCCTGGTAATGGCATCAGGCCTGCCTGAACTACCCAGGTTCTGGGATAATCTCCACATCTCAAAATTCCTAACTACCTTACACCTGCTGACTCCCTACCCTGTGGAAGGCACCACTTTCATAGAATCTGGGGATGAAGGCGTGGACATCGTTGGGGGCCATGGTCCTGGGTACCATGGGGAAAGAGCAGAAACTTAGGCCAGATAGGAGTTCAGCACAGTGCCAGAGAAACTGCAAAAACAAAAGATGAAACTCGACCACTTTCCACTCACAGCCCTCCAAGGCCGCTCCCTGCTCCCAAGAGAAAGACCGAAGTCCTTCCCGTGGCCTTGGAGGTCTTCCGTGTCACCCCTCTGACCCTGGCCCCTCCCCCTCCCCTGGCTCAGCCTGCCCCAGCTCCTTGGGCCTCCTTCTGGCTTCAGCATCCCCAAGCCTTCTCTTTCCAGGTCCCGTGTGTCCTTGGGAGTGTCATCTCAGTCCCCGCAGAGGGCCACTGGCCAGAATGTCTTCTCTCCCCAGCTCCCAAGGACTCTTTTGCCTTCGTGGCCAGTAGCACTATCAGAAATTATCTGCTTTATTCATTCATACCTCGTCTACATCCCCAGACAATTCACCCTACCCTAGACCAACCAGGGTTATGTCTTGGTTGCTGATGGACTCTCCTGGCTCTGAGCATCCCGTCCAGCCTAAGGTGCCCGGGGACAGGTCACTCGTGTGCCCGCCCAGACTGGCCAGGAGGGAGCAGGCCGGGCGGAGGGGGCAGGGCAGCCCTGCCCGCCTGGACAGCTCGGAGAAGGCGGGAAAACGAGGCGGGAAAACCCAGTCAACAGGCCCTACGGGTGGGTGGGGAGCGCTGGCAGGCCCTGACGCCAGGCCATGGGGATGGGGGGTGATCTGGCCAGCTATCGGGGTGCACTGTCTCATGGGGGTCTTTCGCCTTCTCCAGTAGTAGACAGACATTCCGTCTTGGTCAGTGGTTGCCCAGGGGAGGGGGCTGCGGAAACGGATTTAGGATAAGGTCAGGGGTCTCCACACTGGGGGGTTCCTGTGCTGGGGGGTCCCCCTAGAGGTACTGTGGGGTGTGCATGGTGGGGCGCCCAGGTCGCGCCACCCAACCCCTGGCACGCTGGGCACGCCCAGCAGACCCACGGAACAGGGCGGGCCGAGGACAGCTGGGCGGAGTTCGAGGGTGGTGGACAGAGGGGGCGGGGGGCGCCCCCCCCACCCCCTTTTTCGTTTCCCGCCACTGCGGCGGCCAATCAGGAGGTAGGCGTTCGCCCGAGGAACTGCCTCCCGCGGGCCTAGCAACTCCCCAGCGCCGAGTTTTCGCGGGAAAAAAATCAGAGCAGCTGGTGGCGTGGTGGACTCCGTTCGTCTAGCGCGCGCTCCGGGTCGCACGCAGGTCCGCGCGGGAGTCCGGCCCACGCACGGGCCGCCACCGCAGTCCCTAGCCGAGGGAACTAGTGCGTTGGATAGCGGCAGCCGGAGAGGTGAGTGGCGGGGCCGATCGCGGTGCCAGCCTGAGCTAGGCTCACGGGGCGCGGGGACTTGGCAAAACTTTGCCGCGTGGCCCGGGATGCGCGATCAGTATGGGCGCACGCGTGCCCTGGAGTGGGGTGCTGCTTTGCACACGAGGTGTAGATCTAAAGTCTGTGTCTTGGATCACACGGCTCGGGCGGGGGCGAGCGCCACGCCGCTGCAGCCTGGCCGGGGTCGCGCGAACCTGGTGGGGGAGGGCCCGGAGAGCCGCGGGGGAGGATGTCAGCCTCCGCGCCTGCGCGCAGGGCACCCAGCGATTCAATTGTCGCGCCTGAGCCTGATTTCGCGCGCCCTGAGTTCCCCGGGCGCTTCTAGACCAGTAGGAAGCGAGTGGGGCGGAGCGTCCTGGAACCTCGAAGCCAATAAGAGGAGCAGCTCAAGTGAAGGGAGGCGGGACTTGGCGTGGGGGCCCCTTCGGTCGGTCCCGGCGGCGGTGGGCGTGGGTTTGCTGGTGCACTCGCGCGGGCCGGTGAGAGTGCGGGAAGAGACGTGAGGGCTTGAGTTAGGTGTCCAGGGAGCGTGGCCTGCCGTGGGGCTGAAGTGAGTCTCCCGGCACGCGGGCGGGGGCGGCCGGGACGGGGCGACCCGTTGCCATGGCCACCGCGGAGCTGGCCGGGTCGCGGACGCGCGCGGGGGCATGGTGGAAGGGGGGTTTCCGGGCTCCGGGGTCGCAGGTGGGGGCCAGACCTGTCTTCTCATTCGCACTTGCTTGAGTTACTCCCGGTTCCTGCTTTTTCTCCCCTGGACTTCTGAAGTTCCGGCCCGTTCTGGACATTGGGAATTTACGAATCCCGGGAATGAATGAACGGTCCGGTGTGGCTACTTGTGGTGGTGCTGGACGTCCCTGGCGGCTGTTTTCCTGCGCATAGGGTTGTAGTGGGTTATACTTGGTGGTCTGAGATGGCGTTTGGCCCCCCCCCATCAACAGTTGCTAGTCATTAAGGCAGTTAAGTCTTTAATTAACTTTGCCCGGCTCTGGACCAGAGCGGCAGAATATGGGGACTGGAAATTCTCCTAATTGTCTGAACCCCTGCGCCCCCATAACTTGGTGGTGATGTGGAAACTGACCTTCGGTTCTGCTCTCTCCCCCACCCAGCACCGACACCATGTGGGTCCAGGTGCGGACCATGGATGGCAAGGAGACTCACACCGTGGACTCGCTGTCCAGGCTGACCAAGGTAGAAGAACTGAGGCGGAAGATTCAGGAGCTATTTCACGTGGAACCCGGTTTGCAGAGGCTCTTTTACAGGGGCAAGCAGGTAAGCCCTTTGGCCAGGCTGCCCGCCCACCCGCCAACACCTTTGTTCCTGACTGGTCCAGGCACCCGGCCACTGCAGCCACAAGCACAGGCAGACTCCCCCCTCGTCCGGTCCCGCTTCACGTCTCCCGGAAGGAGAAGTCTTACAGAAACCTCAAATGCTTGCGAGCAAGAGGAAAGGAACAAAGGCCAGACTCGCACACTGACCCGCCAGGCAGGCAGCTGGCACTCCAATCTCTAGCGCCTGGGTTTTTAAACTTGTTTTTTAAAAAAGCTTGTCTTGAAATAATTTTTTTTTTTTTTGAAATAATTTTTAAAGAAAGATGTCAGAGGTGGCCAAGAAGAGGGCTGAGGAATTTCGAAAGACAAGCCGAGCCGTAGAATGCACCCGTATACAGTTAAGACCAGGTTTTTCTTTTACAACACACCCTGATGGCCCACAGCCTGCACCCATTCAGCATCAGATTCCGTCCAGGATGTGGGATTAGAGATTTGGATTCTTTCATTCAGAGTCTGAGTCCGAGTGGGAGCGCTGGGTGTGGAGTTCTGGCCACTCTGGGCTGAGCTGGAGGGAGGGTGGTCTCCCCTTACCACATTTCTGCAATCTCTCTCCCCCGGCCCCCTGTGCTGTTAACATGGTCATTGTGCTAACAGCTGCCTGTGCTTGGGAAGCTTTATCGTTGGCACCTGGGGCTTTTGCCCCTTTGATACGGGACGTGCATCTATGCAGCAAGCGGGGGTTTCCTAGGTGGGCCAAGATGTGTGGTAGCAGGTTCAGGTCTTACCTGCTGGGACTGGCTTGGAGTTGGTGACTGTAATTGTTGGTGACAAGACTATAGGACTGGATAAAAAGTCTCAATTTGACTTGGTTTTGTGTGTCTGACTTTGTTGTTGCCGAATTTTAAGCCGGGTGCTGCTGCCATCTGCTGTCTAGATTGGTAACAGATGCAGTGCACTTGGGCTGATATCTGGGGGCTGGGAGGATCCTTCGTGCTCACTCCAAACGAGACTTGATGATTAATTTCTTGGGGAAGTCATGCCCTGGGAGACTTTTCTTAGCCCTTGATATAAGAGACTTGAGGCCTCGTGAAGATCTTAAGAATTCAGTTTAGCTGTGCTTGGTGGTGAGTGCCTGTCGTCCCAGCAGTCGGGGAGGCTGAGGCAGGAGGATCAAAAGTTTGAGCCCAGCAGGGGAACTTAGCGAGACCCTGTCTCAAAAAGGGTTGGAGATGGAGCTCAGTGCAGAGGCCCTGGGTTCAGGCCCCGCTTGGGCCAGAAAAAAGCCCAACAAAAACAAGTCCATTTAAGCAGCCCAGGGCTGTGCTGTGCTGGATGGTGGCAGCTGTAGCTTGTGTAGCAGTCAGGCTGCCATCCCAGGGGACCTCTGCTGCACATGCTCTCTCTCCTCCCAGGGTGGCTGCTTTTTGTGGCATCCCAATGAATTTTTTTCTTTTTGGTACCAGGGATCGAACTCTGGTGCTTGTGCTCGTGCAGCAGGCGGCGAAACCACTGAGCTAAATCCCCGGCCCATCTCAATGAATTTTGACTGCCAGTGTCTTCCCGTTTAGTTCAGGCTGGGCTTGAACTCACTCGGTAGCCCAGGTTGGCCTGGGACTCACAGTGATCCTCCTGCCTCAGCCTCTACACCCAGCTTTGATTACCATTGGGATCGGCCCCTGGTGTGTGGGTCCACGCAGTAGCTTTCATCTCACATAGGTTTTGGAGAACCAGGTGTGCCTGCTGGGCTCGTGGTGGCTGGGACTCTCCTCAGTGTGAAGGAATGAATATTACCTGTTGTCCACTCTGTGCCAGGCACTGGGCCTGCGTTTTAGCTTCGATGCTTTAAGCATACAGAAAGTTAGGATGAGCCCTGGACACCTATGCACACCTACCATGTTCATTTTACCTACCTGGGCATTTCGCCATATTCGGGTTTTTTTGTTGTTGTTGTTTTTGGTACCAGGGATCGAACTTGGGACCTTGTGCTTTTGAGGCAGGAATTGGAACCACTCAGCTAAATCCCTGGCTTGGGTTTTTTGTTTCTTGAGACAGGGTCTCATTATGTAGTTATGCAGTTTGAGCTGGTTTTGAGCTCACTCTGTAGCCTAAGCTGGCTTCCAACTTGAGATGATCCTCTTGTGTTGGTCTCCCAAGTGCTGGGATCACAGTGTGGACTCGGCTCTTATTTATCATGCAGCACTCTATCCTTTCTCCGTTCATCAATCTGTCTTACCTTCCAGATGCAGACATTTGTCCGTGTCATTTCTAGACACTCGGCACGCCTATGGCTCACTGAAATTCAGTATTCCTAGGTCTGGTTCTTTTTTTTCCCCAGTACTAGAGATTGAACCCAGGGCCTTTGCACTGAGGGAGGTACATGCTCAACCCATATTTTTTTTCCTTTTTTTTGGTACTGAGGATCGAACTTGGGTCCTTGGGAGGCAGGCAGCAGAACTACTGAGCTAAGTCCCC